GAGCAGGAGGTCAGAAGGGACAGTAAATACATGATATGAGGTGGGGTGGGCGAGAGAATGGAGTTAGAAGGAAGGGGAGGGGAGGAAGGTTCCATAGGGGCATGAGTATCTATGAGTTGTTACATCCTGGGTTCCTTGATGCCTGGAAAGGAAAAGAAAACTTTTCCTGTTAGAACATCGAATGACCCAGAGAATGAAATGAAACTGAGGACCAGGGCAGTTCTGAGCCATCATGGGGTAGTGGGAGCCAAGACCTCAAGAATGTGCACATGGCAATGCATGACAGTGAATATGGATCTCAGAATGTGGCGAGAACAGCTGTCTAAGGAGAATCAGTCATCTGCCTGCAGACTCCAAGGGGAAAAGGTCTATCTAATGAGTGGGATTCTCAAAGCCAAGCTTGAACATTGAAGAGTGGGAGGTAACTCAAATTATTGTAACAGTGGGAGGCATAGATCCGAACTTCACTGCCCACATCAGTGGAAGTGTTGTAAATTAGGATTCTCATGCATTGCAAGGATACAGTGAGGCTTATTGCACTCTGCAACACTGCAAGGTTAGTGAAGATGCAGGATGCATAAGAAGCAGCCACAGGCTATGAATCCATTCATAGTATTCACCAGAGACTGGACACCTTGATTAGACTCGTATGACTCTTGTGCAGTGTAACCATCCAGGGCCACAAGATGGTTCTCCACCTTATAGGTGTTTTAGTAATAGTTAGTCCATGGCAAGGTTTGCACATGAACTTTAGCTTTCGCAGAGGTAGGGGATCAGAACCAAAGCTGAAAGAAAATGTCAATAATATAACACAAGAATAATCCAAATAATAATCAACACTTGAGGATCATGTCATACAGCAAGCAGGCGGCTGAGAGGCAACTGCACAAATAAAATTCTAATAGGCAGTCTGAGCCCAAGTCAGGTCACCCTGAAAGTGGATTGATTCTAACCTCTCTAATTCGATGGAACATTATTCTGTCTTCCTACCATTGATGGTCTATCTGGCCCATTTCAAAATGTACAGCCTCATTTTCCTTCTCAGAAGATCCCTCTTAGTCCTGCATCTCCTCAGTGAAAACATCCCCCTTTGGCAACTGAGACGGTGGAGGACAGCAGACCACTACAATGTGGAAACACTTGTCTGTGGTATACTGTGACTAATGACTAATTAAGGCATTGGAACCTGAATTTCAGAAGGCCTTTGGTGCATTCTACAATTGCCCTAGCATTGTTGCATCTCTCTTTGGCAGCAGTCTAAGGATTTCCCAGAGCTGCCATTAGCCAGATGTGAAGGGAGATTCACTTTTTTTTTGAAAGAGACTGACAATTGTGAGTCATTCAGGATGTACACGTCATGGTAGCACCCTGGATATGCATCGTAGACCTGATCATCTGACTGTTGTAATCCAACTGTTTTAAAAATTAAGTGGAGTGGAATCATCTTCTGTTCATTAAAACAGCCGGTTCATTCCTTTGTGAAGATAATCACATCATCATTTTTGTTGACAGTCAGTCATTCACTAACAGACATGATGGCCCACCTAGGAAATTCCATGTCCGTAGTTATAGATTCCCTGGGCCCTAAAGCCGTATCTCCGATCACGTATTTCCAGGAATTGAAATTGGTCTGTGGCCTTGATGTCACTGGAATTCCTTTCTCCTGTTCCTTTTCCATACTTCCTGTTGCTGATGATCGTTCTCAAAATATTGTGCCCCTCATGTGAACACGTCTTCCTTTGCGCGGACACCTATGTTGCATTTCATGAGGGAAGCCTTCAGGGAATCTTTGAAATGCTCCCTTTGTCCTCCTCTCACTTGAGTGCCCTCCTTCAGTTAGACAAAGAGGATTTGTTTTGGCACTGGACTGGAACTCCACAGACCTAGGCTAATATATACGAGATATGGGTTCAACTCCATCCCTGGCAACTGGTGCCATTTAAATTTGAATTAATACATTTGGAATTAGTCTTAGTAATGGTGACCATGAAATTAATTTTGTTTGCTAATTATTAAAAACCCATCTGGTTTCTAAATAAAAAAATCTGCCATTCTTACCTGGCTTGGCCTAAAAGTTATTTCAGACACACAATGGTCAACTCTTAACTGCTCTCTGTAATGGTCTAACAAGCCACTTACTCTGAGGACAATTAGGGATGGGCATCAAATGTCCCTGAAAGAATAAAAAATAAGACACTCTCCTTGCTTTGTGGGTGCAATCAACAATATCCAGTGATGGCTGAGAATCCTCAATCTAAGGCTGCCTGACACCGCATGTCAAGGGTAAATGGGATGAATTGGTGGTCTCTTGCAAAGAGAGTACCAGAATCATCCTGGATACATTTATGAGTTGAGAATTTGAAATTTCATTAAGATGCCCAGTAGATCCCTGAAGACTGACGTTATCCAATCTTGTTGAAAGAATAAAAGAACAACTTATAATCAAAATGAAGAGAAACTTCAAAATGCTTCGGCACAGAGAGATCTGGGTGTCTGAGGTTATCCACTTTGGTCACAAAAACAGGAAGGCAGATTATTTTCTGAATGGTGGCAGTATAGGAAAAGATGAGGTGCAACAGGACCTTCGTGTCACGGTGGAACAGTTGCTAAGGTTGGCATGCAGGTGCAGTAGGCAATGAGCAAAGCTAATGGCATGCTGACCTTCATAGCGAGAGGATGAGAGTATTGGAGTAAGGACGTCTTGCTGCAGTTATACAGAGCCTTGGTGAGGCCACACCTTGAGTATTGTGTGCAGTTTTTGTCTCCCAGTCTGAGAAAGGACATTCTTGCTATTGAGGGAGTCCAGCGAAGCTTCACCAGACTGATCCCCAGGACGGCAGGACTGACATACGAGGAAGGACTAGATCGATTGGGCTTGTACTCGTTGGAATTTAGAAGAATGAGACGGGGGGGTGGGGGGGGTGCGTGGTGGCAGGATCTCATAGATATATAAAATCCTGATGTTACTGGACAGCCTAGATGTGGGAAGAACGTTCCTGGTGTTGGGGAAGTCCAGAACTAGAGATCATAGTCTAAGAATAAGTGGTAAGCCATTCAGGACTGAGATGAGGAAGAATTTCTTCACTCAAGGGTTGTGAACCTGTGGAATTCTCTCCCACATGAAGCTGTTGGGGCCAGTTCATTAGATATATTCAAGAGGGTGCTAGACATGGCCCTTGCTGTTAAAGGGATCAAGGGCTATGGAGAGAAAGCAAGTTTAGGATACTGAAATTGCATGATCAGCCATGATTATATTGAAAAGTGGTGCAGAGTCAAAGGGCTGAATAGTCTATTCCTACACCTATCTTTTATGTTTCGATGTAATAAGTAGGACAAGTAGAATTTAGGCATTTATTGTGAAAGAAATGGGGTATAAAAGCAGGGAAGTGTTATTGTAATTGTACAAGGCAATGGTGAGATCACATCCGGAGTGTGGACTACAAGAACAACTTAACCTCTTTAACAAATGCTAGCCGTGCTTCTAGAATTTCTCGTTCAATTGCGGAACCCTCTACATTCTCAGCTTACATATTGCAGATTCTCTATGCATCTGAAATGATCTGATAAAGGTAGCTAATATCTAGATAAATGCCTGATCAAATCGCTTCTCACCATGTCGCCCATACTCACAAAAAGGGCCTAAAGCAGCCATTCACTCTGCAACTATGCAGTAGCAACATGAGTAGAATTCTATCAAGCAAGTGACTATGGTGGTATATGATTTCCAGTGTCAGTATGATGTAATGTATGTAGGCCAAAGATTCCAAAGGCTGACAGGTCATATCAAACGGTATATCATTTTGTTGCTTGCAGGAAGCAAGTTACAATACATTGTACAAGACATTGGTAGGGCCACATTTGGAGTATTGCATACAATTCTGGTGTAAAAAAAGATTTACAAAGATATTCCTGAGATTGTAAGGTTTGAGTGGAGAGGCTATGACAATTTCCCCCAGAGCATAGGGCACTGAGGGATGACCCTATAGAGGTATATAAAATCATGAGGGGCATAGCTAAGGTGAATAACCAAGGAAATTTTCATGAGAGTAGGACAGTCCAAAACAAGAGCACACAGGTTTAAAGGTGAGAGGGCAAAGACATAAAAGGGACCTGAGGGGCACCTTTTTCTCCCCCCTCCCCACAGAGGGTGGCAGGTATATGGAACCAGCTGTCAGAGGATGTGGTAGAGTACAATTACATTTAAAAAACATTTGAAGTACCTGGATAGGAAGAGTTTAGAGGGATATGGGCCAAATGGGACTAGTTCGGTTTAGGAAACCTGGTCGGCATGAACGAGAGATAGTAGGAACTGCAGATGCTGGAGAATCCGAGACAACAAGGTGCAGGGCTGGATGAACACAGCAGGCCAAGCAGCATCATAGGAGCACAGAGGCTGACGTTTCGGGCCTAGACCCTTCATCAGAAAAGGGGGAGGGGAAGGGGGTTTTGAAATAAATAGGGAGAGAGTGGGAGGCGGATAGAAGAGAGGAAACAAACAGGTCGAAGAGGCGGGGATGCAGCCAGTAAAGGTGAGTGTAGGTAGGGAGTTAGGAAGGGGATAGGTCAGTCCAGGGAGGACGGACAGGTCAAGGGGGCGGGATGAGGTTGGTCGGTAATCAGTTCTGAGGAACGGCCACTAGACCCGAAACGCGTTGACTCTGATTTTCTCCTCACAGATGCTGCCAGACCTGCTGAGCTTTTACAGCAACTTCTGTTTTTGTTTCGGAAAGGACGAGTTGGCCCGAGGAGTCTGCTTCTGCGCTGTATGACTCTATGACTATGTTACTGATCGAACACAAAGAAAGCACTGGTAAAGCACACAGCACGAAGTACAACACTAGACTGGATTCCACAAATGGATCTGTTACTGCAGATACTCCAAATCATAAACCCTCGAAATCGGGAGCTCCTTTTATCACTAACCCCTCCCTATACAGCGTGAGGTCCACATTGCTCTTCACTGTTTTATAAACGCTTGGAAATTACTTCCGGAATCACTGACCCATTACTGCGCCTGCGCGATTTATGGATGCCTAAATATGTCGCCAAGAGATTTGAACCCGAATTTCATTGAAAAGCTTCTGCAATATAATCTCATGAGTATGTTTGTTGAATACAAGCCGAGATTTTATTTTAGCAGGATGATTTGACGATACTGGCTGTTTCCTGCTAGCGGGCATTTCCATAGCCACCCCTCTCCACCCACCAACCCATGTGTGGGTCTTCATCTTTCACATGTTACGCTAAGATGGCGGATCTTCAGATGAAAATTATCCGCAAAAAGTTGCAAAAGAAAAACGCCAAAATTAAACGGATAAATTCAGCGGCGGGAGAAAAAGGTGAGTGTGAGGCAGGCAGGTGGGCGACTTAAGGCTGAAGATCTTAGTGTGAGTGAATCTAAACCCGCACCGCTTTCGTTCAGAGTCATACAGCATGGAAACAGAGATAGTAGGAACTGCAGATGCTGGACAATGTGAGATAACAAGGTGTAGAGCCAGAGACTTGGGTCCAACCAGTCCTCGCTGACCATGTTCCCAAACTAAACTTGTCTCACGTGCCTGCGCCTGGCCCATTTCCCTTCAAACCTTTGCTATTAATGAACTTATCCAAATGTCTTTTAACCGTTTTAACTGTCCCTGTATTCACCACTTCCTCTGGCAGTTCATTCCAAGTACGAACCACTCTTTGTGTTTAAAAAAAAGTTGCCCTTCGTGTCCTTTTTAAATCTTTCTCCTCTAACCTTAAATATATACCCTTTGTTTTGAACTCTCCCACCTCAGGGGAAAAAAAATCTTTGCTACTCATTTATGTTCCTCGTGATTTTATATCACCCCTCAACCTCCCAGCCCCCCAGTGAAAAAAGTCCCAGCCTATCTTTATAACTTAAGCTCTCCATTCTTGGCAACTTCCTGGTAAATCTTTTCTAAACCTCTTCCAGTTTAATAATATCCTTCTTATAACAGAACTGCACACAGCACTCTAGAAGAGGCATCACCAATATCCCTTGCAACCGCAACATGATGTCCCAACTTCTTTAGTCAATGGACTGAGCAATAAATGCCTTCTTAACTGCCCTGTCAAATTTTAAAGAATTATGTACCAGAACCCTTGGGTCTCTCTGTTCTACAACTCTACCCAGGGCCCTACCATTAATGTATAAGTTCTCTGCTCGTCAGCTCTCACTACCAGCCCACCCCATTCGCTCCCAACTTGCTCCTGCATTTGCTCTCCCCTCCCCCAATTCACCCTCCCTACATTCACTCCCCACCCTCGCCATCCCCACTCACCCTTCAGATCAGCCATGTTCTTGTTCAGTGGCAGAGCAGAGTATAATTCAAAAACAATGTTATTTTGTGGATTGTAAAGTCATTTGGAATGAGCTGAGATCATGAAAGAGCAGTGCAAGATTTTATGCTGTTTTTGGAGTTGATTCATTTATGTTTAAATTGTAGTTCCATAATATCAGAATTCTAGATTGTTTATCTGTAACCAAGTAGAAGTTCTGACTCTGTGTACAACTCTGATACATGAACCTGGTCTGAATTTGGACTCTATATGAACAAATTAAGTTTTCTGTTGACAGTGGTCAAACAAAAGAACGTGGAAAATGAAACACCACAAGAGTCAATAGGTGATCAAGAAAACACTCCAAAAGAATTGAAGGAAGAACAAAGGCTTACGAAGGATGAAAGCGAACAAAAACCAGTATCAAATATCAAAAAGAAAAACAAAAGGAAGCTTGCAACTAAAATCCAGGAAACTGGTAAATTTGCTTTGAGTACTTTAGTAATACATGTGCAATAGTTTGTCAGATATGAGTACAATTTGAGTATTGGTGAAAATATATGCTGGTGGAGCTTTTCATTTTGCATTCATTGGGATAGAATTGCAAGAATACCAAATTTTGGTGGGGGAAAAAGACATTTATGCTACGTGAGAAACGTCAACATGTGCAAATGCTCAGGCCCTGGTTGCCAATGAAGCTAATTTTGTAGCACGTAGAGACGCAGGAATCATAAAGTGTATATTGACCAGTGAAGATGGGCTCATGGTTCTGTGCTTTCCAAACATTTTTCCCCACTGTGATAACAAGGTGTAGAGCTGGATGAACACAGCAGGCCAAGCAGCATCAGAGGAGCAGGAAGGCTCACGTTTCGGGCCTAGACCCTAAAAACCTTAGTGGATCTCACTCCCACTGCAACTCTCTCGTAATCTCTTTGGCCTTGACACAGCCACATCACCTTTCTTAGCACCTGCCTACGGAATCATACAGCCACATCACCTTTCTTAGTACCTGCCTACGGAACCAGAAGGGTCTAGGCCCGAAACGTCAGCCTTGGCTAGCCCTAAAGATGATTCCATGGCATGTGTTCAGGCACATATGGTGTTGTTGAAGCTGAAATCAACTGTGCAGGTATCTAGGTTCATAAATTCAGTTAATACAGATTCGGGCAGTGACGGCATGTCTAGATTGCTAGGATATAGTGTTGCTGCATAAATGTCTTTGGCTTCCTTGAGCGGCACATTAGTGAATGTGCTAGCAGTGTCCACTGAGCACGTGGATGTGGTATTGCTTTCGATATGTAGGTCTACTGTAGTTTTGTGATGAAGACATCTTCATCATGTATTTCGAAAAGTTCCTCAGAACTGGTTGTAGCAAGTCACTTAATTTAGCCAATTCATGAGCAATAATTGCTATCCTAGTTAGTAATACTACTATCCCATGTACAAATTGAAAAGAAAAAGTTACACAGAATCATTCATAGACAAGCTAATGCTTAAAGGGATAACGCTTTTGTGTGTCTTGCACAGCCCATGCATAAGTGCATGCAAACTGAGGGGACAGATTTGATGTCCATCATCTGGCAGGCTGTTCCACTTTCTCAGTTCTAACAAACAATTTTTCTAACTTGCATTTGAGTAGAGCGTGGTCACACTGTACAGCAGATCCAATGGATGCAAATTTGGGGCCATTGTTAAAAATGACATGTATTTTGTCAGTAAAATTTCATTTATTCCATACTCTGTCAGACATACAGTTATGCTAGGCATCATTGTATTGCTGAAACACTTATGTTTAAATTAATTTACAGCGTAGATATGTTTCAAATAGTATGGCTTTTGGTAGAGTCATCTGTTGAGGCAATATAACAGCACAAGTGGATCAAATCAAAAATCAATCCACTATAAACCCACTGACTCCCACAGCTACCTGGACTATACATCCTCCCACCCTGATTCCTGTAAAGACTCCATCCCATTTTCTCAGTTCCTCCGTCTCCGTCGCATATGTTCAGATGAGGCTAACTTCGACAAGGGAGCCGCCGAAATGTCCACCTTCTTCCTCAACCAAGGATTCCCCAGTTGTCGACGGGTCCCTCAACCGGGTCCGACCCATCTCCCAAACTTCTGTCCTCGCCCCCTCTCTTCCCTCCCACAATAGCGACAGGGTTCCCCTTCTCCCACCAGCATCCACATTCAGAAGACCATCAGACGCCACTTGCACCACCACCAGCGAGGTGCCACGACCAGACGCACATTCCCCTCCCCTCCTTTGTCTGCCTTCTGCAGGGACCGCTCCCTCCGGGATACCCAGGTCCACTCTTCCTTCAAACCCCCACCACAGCCCCACGGCCTCTGCAACCAGCAAAGGTGCAACATCTGCCCGTTTACCTCTTCCCTCCCCACTATCCAAGGGCCCAAAAATACCTTGCAGGTGAAGCAACACTTCACCTGCACTTCCCAGAATTTAGTTTACTGCATTTGCTGCTGAAAATATGGGCTACTGTACATGGGGGAAACGAAGCATAGATTAGGTGACCGCTTCACAGAAATCTATGTTTCCCTTGCAAAAAAGACCCTGAGCTACCTGTTGCCTGCCACTGTAACACGCCACCCTGTTCCCTGGCCAACATGTCTGGCTCTGGCTTGTTGCAGTGTTCCAGCGAAGCTCAACGCACGCTGGAAGAACAACACCTCATTTTCCACTTGGGGACCCTGCAGCCCTCCGAACTCGATATTGAGTTCAATAATTTTAGGGCCTAAACTCTCCCATGTCCCAGCCACTTACCCCGCACACCAGGCCTTGTTACCACATAGCCTACCATTACACACTACCTATTGTTAATCACTAACAGTCCCCGTTAACAACTACTCACCCTCCTAGCCAGATCGTTATCAACTCCTTTGTCTATCCAACTGCTCTTCTGTCTCTTCGGGCTGTATCCTTTCGTTTACTCCCTGTCCCATCCCCCTCCCTATTTTCTGCTCATAAACTGACGTTTTCCCAGCGACCATCGGTTTTGAGGAAGGATCACCAGACCCGAAACGTTAATTCTGATTTTCTCTTCACAGATGCTGCCAGACCTGCTGAGCTTTTCCAGCAACTTCTGTGTTTAGAACATAGAACAGCACGATGTTGGGCCAAACTGTTATCCTACAGTATGATCAAACTAACCTGCATACCCTTCATTTTACTACCATCCATGTGCCTATCCAAGAGTCACTTTAATGTCCCTGAAGTACCTGACTCTACTACCACCACTGGCAGTGCATTCCACGCACCCACCATTCTCTGTGTAAAGAACCTACCTCTGACATCTCCCCTATACCTTTCTCCAATCACCTTAAAATTATGCCCGCTCGTGATTGTCATTTTTGCCCTGGCAAAAAGACTCTGGCTGCCCACTCTATCTATGCCTCTCATCGTCTTGTACACCTGTATCAAGTCACCTCTCATCCTTCTTCACTCCAATGAGAAAAGCCCTAGCTCCCTTAACCTTTCCTCATAAACCTGCCCTCCAGTCCAGGCAGCATCCTGGTAAATCTACACTGCACCCTCTCTAAAGCTTCCACATCCTTTCTATAATGAAGCAACCAGAGCTGAACACAATATTCCAAGTGTGGTCTAACCAGGGTTTTATAGAGCTGCAGCATAACCTCGTGGCTCTTAAACTCAATTCCCCTGCCAATGAAAGCCAACACACCATATGCCTTCTTAACAACTCTATCAACTTCGGTGGCAACGTTGAGGGATCTATGGACATGGACCCATAGATCCCTCTGTTCCTCCACAGTGCCAAGAATCCTGCCATTAACCCTGTATTCTGCATTCAAATTCAACCTTCCAAAATGAATCACTTCACACTTTTCCGGGTTGAATTCTACCTGCCACTTTTTTGCCCAGCTCTGCATCCTGACAATATCCTGTTGCAACCTGCAACAGCCCTCCACACTATCCACAACTCCGCCAATCTTCGTGTCATCGGCAGACTTGCTAACCCACCTCCCCATTTCCTCATCCAAGTCATCTATTGAGGTCACCAAGAGCAGAGGGCCCAGAACAGATCCGTGCAGAACACCATTGGTCACCAAGCTCCAGGCTGAATACTTTCCATCTACTACCACCCTCTGTCTTCTATTGGACGGCCAATTCTGTATCCAGACAGCCAAATTTCCCTGAATCCCATGCCTCCTTACTTTCTGAATGAGCCTGTCATGGGGGACCTTGCCAAAGGCCTTGCTAAAATCCACATACACCACATCCACTCACCTACCTTCACTGTGTTTTGTCACATCCTCAAAGAATTCAATAAGGCTTGTGAGGCATGACCTGTCCCTGTCAAAGCCACTGACTATTTCTAATCAAACTGTGCTTTTCCAAATAATCATAAATACTATTTCTCAGAATCCTCTCTGCTAATTTGCCCACCACAGAAGTAAGACTGACTGGTCTGTAATTCCCAGGATCGTCCCTATTCCCTTTCTTGAACAAGGGAATAACATTTGCCACCCTGCAATCATCTGGTACTACTCCAGTGGACAGTGAGGATGCAAAGATCACTGCCAAAGACGCAGCAATCCCATAGTAACCTTGGGCATATCCCGTCTGGTCCTCATGTTTTTCAAAATTTCTAGCATATCCTCCTTCCTAACGTCAACCTGTTTGAGCACATCAACCTGTTTCACACTGTCCTGACAAACTACAAGGTCCTTCTCCCTGGTGAACACTGAAGCAAAGTATTCATTAAGGATCTCCCCTACCTCCTCTGACTCCAGGCACAAGTTCCCTCCACTATCCCTGATCGGCCCTACCCTCACTCTGGCCATCCTCTTGTTCCTCACATAAGTATAAAATGCCTTAGGGTATTCCTTAGCCCTATCTGCCAAGGCTTTTTCATGCCCCCTTCTAGCTCTCCTAAGTTTATTCTTCAGTTCCTTCCTGGTTACCTTGTAATCCTGTTGAGCCCTGTCCGATCCTAGCTTCCTCAACCTTAAGTAAGCTTCCTTCTTCCTCTTGACAAGATGTTCCACATGTCTTGTCATCCAAGGTTCCTTCACCTTACCATCTCTTCCTTGCCACAGCGGTACAAACCTATCCAGTACTTGTAGCAACTGCTCCCTAAACAACCTCCACATTTCTGTTGTGCGTTTCCCAGAGAACATCTGTTCCCAATTTATGCTTTGCAGTTCCTACTTAATAGCATTGTAGTTCCCCCCCACCACCCCCATAATAAATACTTGCTCACACCGTCTGCTCCTATCCCACTTTATGACTATAGTAAAGGTCGGGGAGTTGTGGTCACTATCACTGAAATGCTCTCCCACCAAGAGATCTGACACCTGCCAAGCACCAAATCCAATATGACCTCCCCTGTAGTCGGCCTATCTACATATTGAGTCAGAAATCCTTCATGGACACACCTAACAAAATCTGCTCTATCCAAACTATTTGCACTTAGGAGGTTCCAGTCGATATTAGGGAAGTTGAAGTCACCCATGATAACAACCCTATTACTTCTGCACCTTTCCAAAATCCGCCTGCCAATCTGTTCCTCAGTGTCTCTGTTGCTATTGGGGGTGTCTATAGAAAACTCCCAATAAAGTGACTGCTCCTTTCCAGTTTCTGACTTCCACCCATACTGACTTGGTCGACAAATCCTCCTCTACGACCTCCCTTTCTGCAGCTGTGATAGCATCCCTGATTAGCAATGCCTCTCCCCTACCTCTTTTACCTCCATCCCTATTTCTTTTGAAACATCTAAACCCCGGAAAATCCAACAACCATTCCCGCCCCTGTGATATCCAAGTGTCCGTAATGGCCACAATATCGTAGCTCCAAGTACTGATCCGTGCTCTGAGTTCCTCACCCTTATTCCTGACACTTCCTGTGGTAAAATAGACACACTTCAACCTGTCGTGCTGACTGCAACTTTGCCCTATCAACTGTCTGTCCTTCCTCACAGACTCTCTGCATGCTGTGTCTGCCTTTACACCAGCTACTCCATCCTCTGATGCATAGGTTCGGTTCCCATCCCCCTGCCAAACTAGTTTAAACCCTCCCAAAGAACTCTCGCAAACCTCCGGCCCAGGATATTGGTGCCCCTCCAGTTCAGGTGCAATGCATCCTTCTTGTACAGGTCCCACCTTCCCCAGAAGGTATCCCAATGATCCACATATCTGAAGCCCTTCCTCCTACACCAGCTCTGTAGCCACGTGTTCAGCTGCACCCGCTCTCTATTCCTAGCCTCACTAGCCCGTGGCACTGTAAGTAATCCTGAGATTACTACTCCACTCGTCCTGTCTTTTAGTTTCCAACCTAACTCTATATTCATTTTTGAGGTCCTCGTCCCTTTTCCTAGTTATGTCATTGGTACCAATGTGTACCATGACTTCTGGTTGCTCACTCTCCTCCTTAAGAATCCTGTAGACTCGATCCGAGACATCCTGACCCTGGCACCTGGGAGGCAACATATCATCCAGAAGTCCTGTTTGCGACCACAGAATCTCCTGTCTGTTCCCCTAACCATTGAATCTCCTATCACAATTGAGCTCCTATTCTCCCCCATTCCCTTCTGAGCCACAGAGCTGGGCTCAGTGCCAGAGACCTGGCCGCTATGGCTTTCCCCTGGGAGGTCGTGCCCCCCAACAGTATCCAAAGAGGTACACTTATTACTGAGAGGAACGGCCACAGGGGATCCCTGCACTGTTTGCCTATTCCCTTTCCCTCACCCAGCTACCTTTATCCTGTAACTTGGTGTGACAACCTCCCTATAACTCCGATCTATCAACTCCTCAGCCTCCCGAATGATCCGGAGTTCATCCAGCTCCAGTTCAGTAACGCGATCCGTGAGGGGCTGGAGTTGGGTGCACTTCTGGCAGGTGAAGTCAGCCGGGACACTAGTAGTGACCCTTACATCCCACATCCTACAAGAGGAGCATGCAACTGCCCTAGCTTCCATCCCCTCTGTTCTAGATTGCCAAAAGAGATAAAAAGAAAAAACAGCTCACATTACCGAACCTCCACACAGTCTTTTTTTTTGATTAGAGGAGGAGGAGGAGGAGGAGGAGGGAGGGTGGGTGGGAAACACTACACGTGTAGTGTTTCAGGTTTAGCCACTGCCCGAATATATTAGTTCATTTACACAGTAGTCCCCGTGTTTGCTCCTGCTCAGCCAATCAGTCCACATGGCAACCAGTCAGCACACTTTTCTTTTGTGCAGTATAAATTCTTGTTCTGTTTGAAATTTGGTATTATGGTAATTCCGTCCTGATGAGTGCAAGACAAAGCTTCAACAGCATGTCTCTTTCTTTCTTGTCAGAAATTCTAAATAATTTGTCATTGAAGAATGAAGAAGAAATATAACTTGGAATTGGTCAAATTTACAGTGCTACAATAATTGTTTGTAGGAATTTCCGAGAGCAAGCACAGTTATCCCTAAGCTTTTTTCTAAATAATGTCCAGGTATTGGACACTGAGGGGTAGATATTATGTAATTGATCTGTTTAACTCAAACAACTTAGATGAAAAGAAACCTTGAATTATCACAGTTACACTAGATTTCAATTGGTTTATCTTGCCCATTTAATGTAACTACTAGATGTGTTTACAGATGATATTAGGGCCACTTCTGAGTAAGAGTGTAAAATGGTACCCTGTTTTATATTGGTAACAAAAGGAAGCTCATTGTTCAATTTTTAAAAAATTGATGGGATACAAACATTTTCCTGATTTTCATATGTGTTCCATCCTCCAAAATTTATATTCTATGTATTTTTGAGATCCAAAACTGATTTAGGAAAGTGAGTTTTTATTTGATGCATTAAGGTACTTTTTTATGGTCTCCTTGAGGGCTACCTTTTGGTTTTTTTAGAGACTAGTTTTTTTTTATTCTCACTAATGCCTTTATCAGTTAATACAGTCGCGTAGCAACATTACCTTCTGTAATTGTGTTGATACATAAGGTATTTGAGTTCTTGCAGTGATAGTAGAGGAGTTCATGAATATCTGCAATTATCAGTCCCATTACATTGAAAGACACAGCACACAGGCAAAGTATGAATATCACTACTTAGATTGGCACGAGACAACAGGTATATTAACAAAAACTGACAGTTGTGCATTTCTACACAAAGCCGTTACTACAAGGTCACATCTAATGTAATTACATCACACATTCACAAAGCTGGAATATTTTAACCCAGGTAGTTATTACTCTTTTGATCGGTCTCAGATCCACGTCAATCTAGGAGTTACGATTGACCAGAAACTGAACTAAATTAGTCATGTAAATAATGCAGTTATAAGATTGGGTCAGAGGTTAAGTATCCTGCAGTGAGTAGTTGCCCAGAACTCCCAAAAACCAATCCACCATCTACAAGGCACAAATCAGGAGTAGCAAGTTTCCATAGATAGCACGTTCCAAACCCATGACCGCCACTATCTCTCAGAGCAATAGAGGTAGGTGCCTGGGAATGTCCAAACTACTCTCCATTCCGTGTTGCAAATATATTGTCATTTCTCCAGTGTAGTTGGTTAAAGTTCTGGGACTCCCTCCATAAGAACACTACAGGGTACCTACATTAAATTGTTTATAGCCATTCAGGAAGGTAGCACACCACTATCTTCTCAAAGGCCAACTAGAAATGGGCAATAAATGCTGGCCAGCCACTGGCACTTGCATCTCATGAATGCAATAGAAAAACTGAAACTCAAATCTAAATTTATTACAGTGTTCATTACAGCAGGATTCACTGCAATCTTGCCCACATGTAGTTCCTGACCATATTCAGCCTTAAACTAGACTAGAACGTAGAGATTCCATGTTCACCTGCACACAATTAATTATCTCAATGATTTAAAGTTTTCCAGTTTCGAGCCGACCAAGTAATTCACCATTGACAGGCTTGAAGCTGTTGTCTCTTCTTTGCAACATCTCTCTCCCTCCAGCTCACACTTCCTCCCTCCCAGCCCGTGCTTTTCCAATCACAAGTGATTTACCGGTAAACCTATTAGCAGCAAGTACATGACACAACCAGCCTTAACTGGAGAAGCAAATCTCACTCTTTACTTCCGTTCAGCTCACAAAGACAACTTTTCTTCCATTGGTCACTCCCATAAGTAGATGTTCCAGGACAATTTGGGGACTTGTGGGGAAAAGTTTACAATTTGCCCTTATGTACTCTGAGTATTCTAATATATGACACATGAAACTCACTATTTATTTTATAATTACGTCGCAAAATTTGCAGAAATCAATAGTTTAGAGTCCAGAATCAGGATGGAAGGTCTTGTTGCAGATTAATTTTGTATTAAGAGAGAATTTCTTCTTATTGTGAAGTTGTACTTGCATAAGTTTGCACATTCTCCCCACGTTGGCGTGGGTTTCCTCCGGGTGCTCCGGTTTCCTCCCACAGTCCAAAGATGTGCAGCGTAGGTGAATTGGCCATGCTAAATCGCCCATAGTGTTCAGGGATGTGTAGATTAGGTGGGTTTATAGGGGAATGGGTCTGGGTGGGATGCTGTGTGGGTCGGTGTGGACTTGTTGCGCCGAAGAGCATGTTTCCACACTGTAAGGATTCTATGATTTGCATCAATGCACAGCTTAAAGAGCCTTGGTTTGAAAATGGCAAAACAACTATCTGTTAATGGATGGAATACTGTTCCAATTGAATTGTTTACAGTCCAGCAAAAGATGTTTAGCTTTCATATTGCCAATGCACCTGTCCATAATCTAACTTGGGTTTTATTCTTTTACTGTAGAAATCAAAAAACCAAAGAATACTGAGCCAAAGGAGGATAGTGACCTGGAGATGAACAAAGCTGATGACTTAGAAGTGATACAGGATGAAAAGGATGAGGAAAATGAAGAACAGTCTGAAGATGATGGAGGACCAACTTTGCCTTTGGGGTTAACAGGTAAACCTGTTTTTGAGGTTTAAACACGGCTGGTGCACTGCTGCTGCGGTGTGTGAAAACAAGTTGGAATCCATAATCTCGTAGAAAATATTTGTACTTCATTTTCGGGATTGAATTACATAAACAGGTTGATACTGAGAGTCAGTAGATGATCAGGAATGGTTGAGATGATGACATAGAACTGGCTGTTTTACCGTAGTTCATAGCGAAACTGGTATTTGTTCTGATGTTGCCAATGAGCAGCATATTGAGGATCTTCGATTTTGGGAGTTTGTGACCATTGCTAGGCAGTTGACCATTTATAAGGAATTTTGGGATAGTTTGAGTTTAAGAACTAGATGTTATGCATTCTTTAGACAAAAATAAAGTGTGCGCCCATGTCAATTGAGGTTGTTTCACTGATGCCAAAGAATGATCAAGCAGTTGGCAGAGTGTGTCAAACTCATTAAAGTTGTGAAGGCAGCATCCTATTCTCTCGTTGAAGTGTTATGGAACTCTTCTGGGTCTTTGTCCTCCTTCTAGTCGATCTTCCATCTGAAGAAAACAACTACCTGGCAATCACTGTCATCTGACAAGGACTGTCCTCTGCCTTTGAATATTTTTTGATACACCCTATGTTTGTGGCTGGCAATCTACACTGATTAAAAAGATTCAGAAAAGTGACAATCGGCAAGGACAGATGTTTATGATGTCAGAATAACTGTTGCCCCTTTGCTCCACCTTCTGAAGGTTAGTTTTAATTCATTTTGGGAATAAAATTTTATTTTCCCAAACACTACATTAATTATAGGGCAATGCCACTTCCAAATCTGTTTTCTTGCATCAGACTCCTGACCAGTGCAAGACAAAATGCTTTGACTATTTTTCTCCTTTTTAGGATTGTTTACATTCGGTGCTGCCAGCCTCTTGTAGAGCTCAGCCAGCTTGGAAACAGTATGTAAGCAGGTTCAAACATAGAATTGTTTAAAAAAGATGGCATTGATTTGTAGACAACAAGGTGCAGGGCTGGATGAACACAGCAGGCCAAGCAGCATCATAGGAGCAGAGAGGCTGACGTTTCGGGCCTAGACCCTTCATCAGAAAAGGGGGAGGGGAAGGGGGTTTTGAAATAAATAGGGAGAGAGTGGGAGGCGGATAGAAGAGGGATAGAGGAGAGGATAGGTGGAGAGGAAACAAACAGGTCGAAGAGGCGGGGATGGGGCCAGGAAAGGTGAGTGTAGGTAGGGAGTTAGGAAGGGGATAGGTCAGTCCAGGGAGGACGGACAGGTCAAGGGGGCGGGATGAGGTTGGTCGGTAGGAGATGGAGGTGCGGCTTG